ATGTATTATATAAATTATTTTTTTTAAAAAAAGTGTGATTAATAATGTATAAAGTATCATGTTATAATCAGTAGTCGGAAGTAGCGCGCTGCAATTTCTGTATTCCCTACTTTTTTTCGTAATTGTTAGTGTAGTGTGCTACTTTTCTTTTTTAAAGTAGTGTACTGTGTAGTGCGATACAAGCAATTGTAGTTTTCAGCGATTCCTCGCAACTATTTTTAAGGTTAGATTAGAAAAGAATCGCTTTCCTAAAGCAACTAAATTTTCGAAATTGATGAGTACAAATCTAAGCAGGTCCGTCAATGGATACAATGAAAAGGACCCTAGGCTGCAACTGAGTTTTAACAGAAATTGCGTATTTAAAATCATGTATAACTAATATAACTAGCCATTACGAAAAATACATAATTACTCACTTTGGTCATACTTTCAAACGTGAATGCACACTCATGAAACATTGATACTATTTGCAAGAAATGGAACGTATTTTCGATGTACTTAATTTCCTAGAGGAAGTAAAAGAGCATTAATCAATCAAAAAATTGCAAGTATTTGATAATTTCGCATTCTTTAAATTAAATATTCGCTGTCGAAAACAGCATACAAAGTGAAGGTTAGTTGAAGGAACAAATTCGAAAAAAAAAATGTTTTGCAATAACAAACTGGAACGTATAAACATTAATACATATTTCATAGTTATTCTTTTATATTTAGCATAAGCCAATTTCTTATTCAAAACCATTTTGAACGTAGGTGTAAATTAAGCTCTCCAACAAAGTTCATCTCCTTAAAACAGTTTGCAGTCACTATATTTAAATAAAAGTAGTAGTAATTAACTACATTTATAAAATAGCTGTAATAAACTGTAAAAATAATGTAGTTTTTTTTTACCACTGGTCATAATATATTATTCATTTTCTTTTCCCAAAAAGTGATGGATGTTATCGATCCAAAGAAAGATTCAGCACAAAATTTGCAATCTCAAGACTCTTCCAACACTTCTTCCGAATCGTTGAAAAGGATATCAAAAACTGTTTTAAATGACATTGAATCCAATGGATTGATGATTGAAGATACGGTAACGAACCAACACATTATGCTATACCAGGTAAGTTGGTATCGGTTTATTTTGCAATGTTAGCTCACCCATTAGATACTTCTAGCACTGTACGCATGCTTGTACTTTTTCAATTCCAACTTTTAGTTTCACTCTCTCCCTATATCTTGCTCAAACTTTCAATCGTTAATAAAATACTTTTTATTCATCCCTCAAGTTCAAACACATTTTTTTTTTGAACTTGTAGTGCATGACACTTGATGTTAATACAGTTTTTTTCAAATATTATTTCATTCATTAAATAGGGATGAGCGAAAAAAGAAATGAATTTTCTGATGGGTTAAGCGGTAGACATTGTTTTAAATTTTACTATAAGTGATTCAGTTTTCACATATTTTAAAGATAATATCAGGGATAATTTCCTACTTATAGCTCTATTTGAGCAAAAAAAATAATTTATTGCGCACATATAAATATTTTATATTCTCTGTGTCAGATAAATTCAATGAAGAACATTACGTGATAGCACGTGTGGTCCACGTCACTAAATTTATACTTTTATAGTTGTCCGATACCATGCGCCTTTTATTTTTTCTGTTCCCACTATTAGTTCACACTTTCCCCATATCTTGTTCAAATTTTAAATCGTTAATAAAATACTTTTCATTCATCCATTCAAGTTCAAATACATTTTTTAAACTTGTAGTGGATGACACTTGGTGTTACTACAGTTTTTTCAAATATTAATTCATATTAAATTAATTAATTAATTTCTGTTTTATATGGAAGAAAAAATTATTGTGATTATTTAATAAAAAGTAACTAAAATAAAATTTTTCATTGTTGATCTAAGTAAGAATTTACTTTAATTTTTTTTTTTTTTTTTTTTTTTTTTTTTTTTTTTTTTTTTTTTTAATATTGTTTGTTTTAGAATGAAATCCTAAAAAAATTTAACACCCTCTGAAATCTTCAATTTTTAAACATGAAGATCTGATTTATACACATTTCATTGTTAATATTACATTTGGAACAAGTAATTCATAGAACTTCTCTATTTAAACAATTGGATACTTGCGAAGGACGTCATCGTAGATAAATTGTGGCATTTGTTGATTCAGAAGCCAATCAGGTTCGACACACATGCTTGACGCGCTTGCAGGTATCAGATTAAATCTGATTTAAATCACATGGTTAGGTATTATCACATCACTTCTTCTCCAGCTGCAAGTACTCAATTATAAATACCATTGTTTCAAGATACAATAGCTTTAAACTCTTTACTCTCACATAAGCTCGTGAAATGTGTAAAAAAGGTAAAAAAAATTAGTAAATGAAAAAGCATTATAACAAAGTAGGTAAAAATATATACTATAGTTAAAATATAGGTTTTATGAAAGCACCTAATGTTGTTAAAAAGCATCTATCTTATGCTTTAACTATAAAAGTATTAAGTAACCAGCGTAAATTTAAACAGCATTATGAAACAATCTGTTTCTTTAAACTTTTAACTTTTAATTTTTGTCTAACTTACGGCTCAGTTTGTTTCATACGATTATGTGTACCCATAAAATTATATCTTCTTAACAAAATAACCACTGCATTTATAAAAATATCAGCATCAAAAAAAATTATAAATGAGAAGCATTTAATCAGTGGGAAGAGCATTCGGGTTCGAATCCCAGCGATGGCTGGTCGATACAAATTCCGCATCCAACTCTCACCGACCACAGTGCTATCGTAAAATATTCTCAGTGGTAGACGAATCATGGGTTATATTCCCCTCGCCACCAGGCTAACCGAGGGAGGTTTTCGTGGTTTTCCTCCTCATGTAACTCAAATGCGAGGTAATTCCATCCAAAAATCCTCCAGGAAGTCAAAAATTCTCTCAAGACTTGATTCAGGGGTTCCCTTGTCTTCTGCATTGGGTTTAAAATTACTCGGCTATGGAGTTGAACACTAGTAGTCGTAAACCCAAAATTGTATCGGCTGTTCAACGACGGTTATTAAATAAAATAATAATTGCTGTGAACTTTTTTTCAGGAAAGAAGAGAAGAAATGAAAGGTGGTAGATGGAAAAAATTAGTTTGGAATGCAGTGATATTCTTAGGTTGTATCATAGGATTTTCCTACCAAACTTATGATTTTCTGCAACATTATCTTACGTATCCCACAACTGTAGACGTGGAAGAAAGCAGCCCTTTTGAAGTCCATCTTCCTGCTATTACTTTATGCAGCAGAAATAGGCAATTTGTATTTCTTTAATTTTGTGTTAAAATGTACTTAAATTTAGTAACTTTTCACTTTTTTTTATGTAAAATTTTAATTTTCTTAAGTAGTGTTTTGTTAATTATTTTAGTAGTGTTTGCTAAGTTTTTTTTAGTTGTATTTACGTTTTTTTTTTAAAGATTTTTTTTAATGTAGAATTTTAAATGCTATAATTCACTTTCTTAAGCAATATATTTCTGACATGGACTTTTTCCTTATTTATTAAAATTTTTTTAAATTTAGTAACTTTTCGCTTTTTATAATAAGTTTTTAATTTTTATTGAAAAAATATGTTTTTAATGTAGAATTAATTATAAATATGATTTTTCTCACTTTCTTTAGCTAGATTCTATTGGTTTCAATTTTCTTATGGAATTTCTGCTACATTGTGCAACTTTCCCTTGAAATTGTAGTATATTTAACTGCTTTATACGGGATTTTTGACTTCTCTTTTTATTATTTCTTTAGCAAGATGTTTCTTTTAGGGCATAGAATTTCATTTCGTTATGCTAAATCTGTTACTTTTTATCTTCTTTAGCAAGATGTTTCTGGTATAGAATTTCAAGAGAAATGCATGGAAATGCATTGAAACATTGATTAAATAAAACGGGGAATGAAACGAAAGAAAAATAATGCATGGTTTGCTACTTTTCATTCTTTTCAAGTTTAAAAATAAGATACTATGTTTGTCAAAAAATGGTGCTGCTAACATGTAAAAATTTAAACAGTGTTTATAAAATAATCAACAACGCGGAGGAGGACAAAAGCAGCAGAGGCCCATACAAATAGAGTGAGTCTAAATAAGCTCAATGCAGTTTTAATGGCCTGAAATTCACCGCAAAATATTATCTTAGAGTTTCTTATCTCTAGTTTGCCATCTTTAGATGCACGCAGTAACTTTTTTTTTTCAAAATTTGTGAAGAAACATCAGTTGGTTCTTGAGCAGAAAGCAGCAAACATTGTTGTCTCTTTCCGTGTTCCTTTAACCCTTTCACGCAGAATTTTTACTAAGCAAATTTTTCATACCTTTTTCATTATTTTGTATTAATTTTGACCAATAAAAGTGAAAAATATTATGTTTAGCATTTATGTAATTTATGATTATGAGATACAATATGAGACACTGGTGCCTTTTTCTGCGTGAAATGTAAATTCTTTGAAGCATGACTCAAGCAACAATAATTTTTCAAACTTGCACTTATTTGCAGTTATTTAGATCTTAAAAAATTATTGAGGATTGAAATCTCTTTAATTTACAAAATTAATTATCGATAAATTTATATGAATGAAAAAAAAAAATGCAAACTACTTTTATAATTCCGATAATCTAACAGATTTTTGAAGTAACTATTAGACCGTTTTTTTTATTTAATTAAAAAGGGAGAAAATATATTTTTTCTGGTAATTACCGCGTTAGAAAAAATATATATAAAAGGACTCCGGTGTCCCATCTACGTCAAAGGGTTAATTGATTTTTTTAAGTCAGTAGTTTCTCGGATACCCGGTATTAAATCACGCACATTAATACAAAATGCTTATACTTATATCAGCTTTGATTCATAGTTCGGAAAATCTTAAAATATTCTCAAGTATGCATTCCAGCGAATTCAGTAAAGTTTAAAAATACTTTTTTTAAGAATATTTTCTATTAAAAGTTTTTTTCTCTGTTTAGATTCAGTCGAATGAAATTCTGTGCCAAACGCAATGCATCATGTACATTTTTTGAGGACTCAAAACTTTTCTGCGATGAATATCCCCGGTACTGCTTCAGTACACGTGCAGAGGAAGGAATGTATCGTAATTATACTGCTATAGAAATGGGAGTAAGTATGTATTAAGCGTTAGAATTTCTTTAATCGATTTATGATACTTTTCCTTTAAAACATGATACTTTTCCTTTTTTTTCCTTAAAACTTTTTCCTTTTGGTTTATAAAACTTTAATTCCTTATTTGTAAGCAATTACGCTGTTATACTGATTCCTTGTGTTACAACTGTCGTCACAGAAGCTTTAGGTTTATAGAATTTTAATTATTTATTTGCAAACTTTTCGCTGGTTTGTTGATTTGTGAGGTTACAACTGTCGTCAAAATAGCTTTTGGTTTACAAAACTTCAATCCTTTATTTGTAAACTGTTTCAACAGTTTATTGATTAAAAATACGCTTTTCCACTTACGTAAAGGATTCACTGTTTCAACCGTTCTTTCACTCGCTGATTTTCTTCCATTCACCGATTCGTCCTTTTACAGTCTTCTCCATTGATTCGCTGATTCACGAACGCGTTAACTCACTTTTTGATTAGTTCATAGATTGATTTTGCCTGTTTATTAGTTAGTTCATCTATTCGTTCATACACTGGTTCACGTCATTTCCACCGCTTAAACTTTTAATCATCATTTACTTTCATAGCCTAGTGGTTTTTTAAAAAAAATATTTATTCGAAGAATTTCGAATCTAAACTTAGTTATTGAACATAAAAGAATTTAGTTTTTAAGAAAAAGCCTATTGTCTTGTCTTTTTTTTAGAATTAATAGTCTTTTCTTTAAGGAATAAACAGTAAAAAATAAAAATTTAACTGTATGAACACATTTGCAGGTACCAAAAAGGGATGAATACTATCAATTGACAGACTCGAAATCTTGGCCCGAAGCTGTTGAGTTTTTTCCGAGAATGTATATTGGTTGCGAGATGTCATACGGTAGTCGCAGTGCAAAGAATTGCAGGTAAGAAATGAGTAATGAGTATTAACAAGTTGAATACCATGGGAGTCACCGGTGACCGGCACTGAGTTTGTTGGTAGCGCCACGGGGGTCACCTGTGAAGCCAAAATTATTGAAAACACATAATTCGAGTAAACCGAAAGTTCTGTTTGGTGGAAAATAAAACCAAGTCAGGCCGAAAAAAATACACAAGTTCTACTGCCGATGGAAAAATTAAACGGCTATGCCTTCAAGATAGAAAAATTTCATCAGATGTCATTAGATGTGAAATGAATGCAGCGGGTATTGCAGTAAGTTCAAGAACAATAAGAAGAAGGTTATCAGGATTTGGACTACAAGCTAGAATTCCAAGGAAAAAAACATATTTAAATCAAAAGCAACTCGAAAAACGAGTTAAGTGGGTACACATTAAATGGTCAGGAAATCAATAGAAGCAAGTTATCTGGAGCGATGAGAGTAAAATATCGCTCTTTGGTAGTTATGGTAGAAAATACTTGAGACGTAGAGTAGGTGAAGCACTTCATCCTGATTAACTACAAAAAACTCAACAAATGTCATGTTTTGGGCATGTATGTCTGCAGATGGTGTGGGCCGAATTCAAGTGATTGCCTGAATGCCAAAAATACATCGAAACTGTCCTGAAGCCGAAATTGATACCTTCCATCAGGGATCTCTTCCCCAACAACGCACCATTTATTTTTCAGCAGGATTCAGCTCCATGCCACACAGCAAAAGTATGCAAAGCATGGTTTCAAAATAAAGGCATAGATATATTACCATGGCCAGGAAACAGTCCTGATCTCAATCCAATTGAAAATTTGTGGTGACGTTTGAAAATTCTTGTACGAAAAAAACGTTCGTCCAATAAAAGACAAATTATTGAAGCTATAATTGATTCTTGGCACCATGTGATTACGAAAGATGAATTTCAAACTCCCGTTCACTCGATGAAAAGACGCTGTGAAGCTGTCTTAAAAAATAAGGGTTATCCTATTAAGTATTGATTGTGTAAGTATCACTTTAAAAAAATGCAAATCTAAGATAGATCTTACTGTTAGTTGCCTAACTTTTTTGCAATACAGATATTGTAATACTGTATTTATTATTAAATTCTACGTTAAATTACCTTCAATTTGATATATAGAGGTTTGTATTTAAGTGAAAATTAATATATTCTACAAGCTCACAAAGTTGAAAACATGAAACTTTCAAAAAATGTCCTCACTTTTGGCCACCACTGTACATTGGTATCCTCAGGATGCCAAAAATCAGTAGTGTATTTCTTAACTATAGCTGAGATGATTTTAAAAAAATATTATGGCAAATTTTACAAAAATTTAGACATGTAGTTAATAACTTTCTAGTTTATAACTCTTTAAATAAGCCTTTTTAAGCATTAGAATGCACTGCCATAAAATAAATGCACAGCATAATCAAATTTTGTATAATTTGAAAACGCAGTAAGTTATTTTTTTGTACTTTTACATTATTTTATCTTATCCAAATATTTTTAAATTTGTAACAATGTTTTTATTCAATAGACCCTTATTTTAAATGGCATATGTAATATCGCCTAACCATGGCCAAGAATCTGACCTCGTTTTACAGGGCTCTATATCTTAACGGCCAAGGAGGGTATCCCATGTCATTTTTTCTCTTGTTAGATTACTTGGTCTATGCCTCTGAGCTTAAACACCTCTCTCCAAACTTTAACAACACAATCTGTGAGTGAACTTTCAGTCATGATGGACTTAATCAGCACGCCGGTTGTCTAGCACGCTACCGAGCTAGGGATGAATTAGGTACGCTGAAGAGCTAGGGATCGAATTTATGACCCCAAGCTCTCCACCTGTGGAGGCTTTTAATGATAAATGACGCATAGTTCCTTGCAAAACCATACTTTGTTTCGTTTAAGGTCTCAATTTAATTTTTATTTCAATTTTTTTAATCAAGTAACGCATTTCTGTAACTATTTCTTTTCTTGTAATAGTTCAGTGTCATCACGACTCTTTTTTTTTAATTATGTAAAAATAAAAAAACTGAATCTCAAATATAAAAAAGGTTGAACCCCTTAACTAAACTCCTTGCAAATAGAATAGGTGTCTCAAGACTACACGATTTCCTCATTCTCCACATTTTTCCCTTTCTGCTACCTTGGTTTCGGTAAATATGACATTCCAACCTCTCCAGTTTATTTCAAGTTCTTACTGAAACGTAATAAAAAGCATTCCCGCAGCAGCCCGTTTGAGCCACGTTGGGAGAGGGGGGGGTCATGGAGATTACGGCTTCACAACTTCAAGGCCAACTGCATGCTTCTGGCAAGATGGTCAGAAGTGTGCACAGGTTGCCTTTACTTCCCAAACAAACTCGCGCCCATCAATCTAAAATTAAGCAGCCACTGGGGATACCATGGGAGTGAAATGCAAAAATTTGCCGAAACCATGGTAATGGAGAGAGAAAAATGTGGGAAAACCTTGAAACATGAGCAAAACAAATTATTTCTTTCCTACAACTTTTCATATTTTAAATGGGAATTTCTGAACATTGGGAGAGTGACAATAAAGATATTCAAATATTTTTGATCTGTTACATGAACACTCATTCACATTTGACTTCTGTATTTATTTTGAATAATATTCGCGTTGACTTGGTTTCAATTACTTACAGAGACAGTTTAATCCCGACACCATTTACTGATGTTGAAAATTATCCCAATATCTGCATCACCATTGCTTCAGCTACGGAAAAACCAGATTTTGAAGAAGAAATTTACGCGAATTCATTAAGTATGTCTTCAAAATATTTTACAAGCTTTTTTTATTATTGTTTCATTTACGAATGAATCCATGGCATAACCTAGCTTTAAAATATCTCTTTATGTTCTAGTGTTTAAAAATTTCGAAGGATTTTTGAAAATTAGAGCTTCAAAACATCGCAGTGTTTTTTTTTCAGAGAAATCCATGATATAGTTTGTCTATGTAAGTAACTCCCGCAACCATTTGTCTAGTGAGGTAGCTGGGACTATGGTTGCGAGGTTTAACCATTTCAAGTAGGAGTGTTGGGTTAAGACAGGTTACGACTCGGTTCGGCGAGAGAAAAGGAATCAGGGGAGAAAGAAGCCCTCCTCTTTGAAATGCGCTATTTCTTGTTTCCATACCAGCAGATGGCCGCAGACTTCGTGGATAGGGGATTTTTTTCTATCGACAAACTATATCAGACAACTATGCGGCAAGCATGGAATTTTCATTTTCATTTGGTTGACATAGAAATGTTCACTAATTAATTCTTTCTCAAACTCAATAGAAATATTAGTATGGCAAGCTTGTACCCTTAAATATTGAAAAAAAAATCTAATATTTCAGCTTTTACTGAGCTTTTTTCCTTTTTCATTCTACCATTGTTCAGGCTCTCATATGCAGCATTTTGTTTGTGTTGAAAATTTAATGATCAGGTCAACCTTTACTTTTAAGGTGTTAAAATATGCATGTTTAAACCGGCGCAAATAAGCTTCGTTTCAGTGATGGTCATAAAAACTAAAATAAACCTTGAGAAGCAGAATTCATCCTCAATTTGAGAACGCTTTCTGTTCTTAATATAGGAATGATGATTCAACCTTGATTTCAGAAGGTTTTTTCAGCCTTGTTTTGTAAAGACAGATTCGCTCTTTATATAAAAGGGTTGTTTATGCAAGCTTAATGCGAAGCTCAAAACGAGTATGCTAGTATAGATAAACTTAACATTGTTTCAAGCTTGTATGGTTTATCTGCTAATCATTTGCAAACCTTGTTGCTGACATTAAAATCAACATTGTACTGCTATCTGAGTTGCGATGACTTTTTTACGCAATGCAGAAGTTTTAATAAAGAAGTGGATCTATTTTGCAAAATTAGCTTGAACAAGAAACGAGAATGTCAGAAAAAATACCTAGTATTGATTTAAAATCAAATTTTTAAAAAAATATTTTTCAAATGAAAAAATTATTAGACATGTTAAATACTTTTAATGGCTTTTTGAGTGAGTAATAAATTTTCGATCACTTACAAAATTTTGAGCTTAGAATACTAGAATGCTCCACATTTCAGCAGAGCTCTGTGATGGATAGCGACACAATTTTCAAAATTGTTCAGATCAATTCCAGCAAAATTTATTGCCTTTTCATTGCAATAGCTATTTCAAAAATTTTCTAATTAGCTAAAAAGCAGAGTCTGGTGGCTCAGGGAATAGAGCGCGTGCCTCCCATTGAGATGATACAAGATCGAATCCCAGCGTTGGCTGACAAATACATTATCTGCTCTCTGCTTTCCCCGACCACAGTGCTAACGTGCAATATTTTCAGCGATTCCCTTGCCGTGGAGATAACCGTGGGAGGTTTTGTGGTTTTCCCATCCATGGCTTTGTCGCAAATGCTAGTGATGCCATTAAACAATCCTCCATGGTCGTAAAAATTGCAGCCCTTGTCTGAGTTGCGTTCAAAATTACAAGGGTGCCAATAATGTTTGCCCGAAAGTTTTTTTTCTTTGATATAAAGAGAAAAAAAACAAATTTTTTTAACTGGTCGGTAAGCCTCATTTCATACCATTAAAGGTAATAGAATAGACATTAATTGTTACCTCACTTGTCTAGTTAGCAACCATGTAGCGAAGTCAAAAATGTAACTAAGTATAAGCTAGAAATAGACTGCAATTCTAGAAATCTTACTGCTTCGTGTATGATTTCTTTAGTTTCAGCCTGATAAAGTACATAAGACGTTACATTTTTTATACTACAATGCCATAGGTGTAAATTGATACAATCTAAACATCACTCTTTTTAAACACAAAACCTTTATAACTTCTAAACTATTAGGCTTATCTCCCCAAATTGATTTCAATCGACTCAGCGGAAAAACATACACCGAGAAAAAAAAACTCATTTGTCTTAACAGTAATATTTCAGTATCTACTCTTTTTCCACAAAAACCTGAACTTTTTACCACTCACGAAGAGGAGGGTACTTATTAATTTCTTGCTTGGTAGAGTTTTCTGTTTTGAATGACCGGGTAAAAACTCTATTCTTTCTCATTTTTCTTTCCTTAGAAATAGGCTTGATCATTGGTACTAAACCTGAAGACTACTTCTTTCCATTTGATCCAGTTGTTGTGCATGCAGTTGTTTTGGATGACCGGGTTAAAACCCTATTCATACTCCTTTTTTCTTTCCTTAGAAATAGACTTGATCATTGGTACTAAACCCGAAGACTACTTCTTTCCATTTGATCCAGTTGTTGTGCATGCAGTTGTTTTGGATTACCGGGTTAAAACCCTATTCATACTCCTTTTTTCGCTCCTTAGAAATAGACTTGATCATTGGTACTAAACCCGAAGACTACTTCTTTCCATTTGATCCAGTTGTTGTGCATGCAGTTGTTCATAACAGAATGCAGTTAGTAAACCCATTTGTGGAAGGATACGTTATGGAAGGAGGAAAGCAATACAATGGCGATGTTTCACTGGTAATCACTGATTTTATTCAATATTAGTTGACATTAAACTAGAAAATGATTTCATAAAAAAATACTTTTTGCTACTTTCTGCTTCAGAATGAAATTATAAGAATTAAACCACCTTACAGCACCAACTGCTACGACTATGTTTCTTCATGGAGAGCAAATAATGGGACTGGACCTCTAACGCAATCAGTAAGTTAAGTTTTCTCAAAAATCCACTGTCTGATTACCTTAAACTGGAATTAATTTTAAACTACCAGAATTAATTTTAAAGTACCATCTCGTGATTTAAAGTGAACAAATAACTTGTGTATTTTAATTTTAGTACTATCTCGTGATTAAAGGGACGAAGTAACCTGTGTATTTTAAATTTAGAACTATCTCATGATTTTAAGTGAACAAATAACTAATGTATTTCAATTTTAAACTGTATGAAAGTACTATCTCGTGATTTAAAGTGAACAACTAACTTGTCTATTTTAGTTTTAAACTAAATGAAAGTATTATCTCGTGATTTGAAGCGAATAAACAAATTGTGTATTTTAATTTTAAACTATATGAAAGTACTATCGCGGGATTTAAAGTGAACAAATAACTTGTGCATTTTTCGTTATAAAATTTTTTAAAACTGTCTTGTTAGCTATAATTCTCCTTTTCTTTTCTTTTTTTTTTTGTGTATTTCTTGATTCCAAAACAACCCAGTTATCAGTGTAAGATTGATTTTAATGTTAGTAACAACATTTATCACAAAACCCAACAAGGTTTATAAATGATAAGCAAATAAACGATGCAAACTTGAAGCAATGTTTAATTTCACTATGCTAATTTACATGCTATGAGGTTTTCAACACAAGCAAAATGTTGCATACAAGAACCTGGACAAAGATAGAATGAAAAAAGATAAAAACAAGGTTTACAGTACACGCTAAAAGAGGATGATTTTTCTTTTTAATAAAGTTTTTAGCATGCTTTTATTCTATCTTTAAGAAAACAAACTTCGCATACTAATATTTCGATTAAGTTTGAAAATGGATAAATTAGTAAACCTTTTTATGACAACCAAATAAAAATGAAAAATACAAGGTTTGCCTTTAAGTTGTCTACCATCTGGGAATATATAGCTGAAATAACGCTTCAAACAATACAAAGATTGGGTCCCAAATGCTTTTTATTTTAAGTATAGTGATATTTTCCAATAGGGATATTTTTACTGTTAAGGAATGGGCAAAATTTAACAGTGATGAATAGTTGTTATAAAACTACAAGAATCATAAAATTAGCACATTGTTTTTTATTTAACGTTGATCTTTATGACGGTAAAACCTTCGAAAACAAATTTAATATTAGTATTTAGATGCATTAGTGAAAAAAGAAAGCCAAGTTGGTTTGTACGAAGAAATGCAATTTTCATGTGATAACTTTTTATAAACTCTCAATACTTTCTTGAACTCTAATTAAAAAGCCTTCAGTTAAGAATAATCAGTGACAAAAACTTGCACTTATTTGCTGTAAGTAAATATTTTTTATTTTCGGTAAATTATTTCGGTATGTACAACAAATCGTCAATAAGATTTTTTTTTCTGGACATATTCAGGAAATGGCATAGCTATTTAAGAAAAAAGACATAGCGACGTAGCGTTTGAATTTATATTTCAAACTTCTTTTATGAGTATTGTTCTTTTTTTAAGAAACTGTTAATTTAAACTGTGTTTTTAAATTTCTTAATAACCGCGCAATAATTCGTAATAATCGCATTACAAACATAGATTCGTATTGTGATATCGTCCATTTTCATAAATCACTTAAAACATCTATTAAATTTATCATTTTTGTTCTTTTTTAAAAAAAGAATAATAATTTGTAATAATCACGTTATGAACATAAATTTGTAATGTGATATCGTCCATTTTCATAAATCACTTGAAACAGCGTATTAAATTTATCTTTTTTTGTTCTTTATTGAAAAAAAGAACAATAATTCGTAATAATCACATAAATTCGTAATGTGATATCGTACATTTGCAGAAATCACTTGAAACATCTTATTAAATTTATCTTTTTTGAAAAGACTTAAAGAGTCAATAGTTGCTCTCACAAGGTTGCCACGGAAACTAAAATTTTATACTCGTGGTAATAAACTAACGTTGTAAGCATTTCAAAACTCACTTTTTTGATGAAAGATCTGCATACGAAGACATCGTCTAATATATAACATGCGTGATGATCCCGAACCCGAAGACCGGGACTTTGCCCGTAATGATTTGCTCAGTGTTGAAATAAGTAAGAAAAAGCAAAAGCGAAATTCCCCATCTGCACGGTATTTTTTTTACCACAAATTTAACAGTTATTCTATCTAAAACTAATTATCGAATATTATTTTTTTATTTCATCTTACTACATGTATATGTTGCTATAAGTTTAGTAGTATTTACGCAGCAAAACAAAATGAAACGTAAAGTTGTTCACCCGAAACAGTGATCGTGCTTATGGTTTTTATCGACATATTAGTAAATTCTTTTTATTTACATTCGTTTTCTACATTCAATGAACATTTTATAAAAATAATAAGTTTTAAAAAACGAAGTTCAGCTTTGCAATTAAATTCTTCAAACATTAAATATACTATTTTGGATATACATTTATGTCTTGGATGTTAGTTTTGATTGTTTGTTGAATGATTTGATAATTTTCCAACACCTCGTTTATATAAAGAAATAAAAATATTTAGAACGTAAAGAAACTTCCATAAATTTTCTTCCACAAGAAAATAAACTGTAATAGGGAAATTTGCAATGTACATGATGTCAGAATCGTTCCACATAGATGGTTCCAGATGGTTCACATGAATGGTTTTAGATGATGCATACAGATGGTTTCAGAAGGTGCACATAAATGGGTTTAGATGGTGCACATAGATGGTTTCATCGCATTTCTGATATATAGTTTTCTACACATATCCATAATGTCGAATTTATGTCTTACAGTTTTTTTGCGCAATGGTAAAGTAAAGTTGAGAATCCAAAACAGCGGGATTGGCATCACTTACGATTTTTCAACCCGGAGAAAAATATGCGTCTAAATTTTGTAAAGTACTAAAATAACTTATTGAAAGTATGCTTCTAAAACATTAATTGAGTAAATTTAATTTTACATTTTCAGAATGAATTAACTTTTTGTTCAATTTTTAAAGGAGTGTATTGAACATTGTAAATTGACAACTGTCAGATCGTTGGACAAATGTGTTGGTGCCAACATTTTCTATTCTCATACAGAAGAGCTTTGTGAACGTAAGTAATAAATACATAAATAAGTAAAATTTTACAGTCTCATTTGTTTTTGATTTTTAGAGCAAACATCGTTAAGAAATTTTACTTATTAATGTACACTGGTTATCATAAATTAAGGAAAAATCACAAAAATAGCGATAACTCTTTCAAAAGTAAGCCAAACCGTGCAAAATTTGCATATGTTGTCCACTAAGAGTAGCTGAGTAAAATTGCAATATGCAAATTAGTGGCGCTGCACTCGGCTTACGTCATCTGCCTGGAGCATAAAAGTCCAAGTTTGAGAGAAAGCACACAAATTTTACTGTGATTGCGACATTGAAAATCTGAGATAGCCAATTCGTAATAATGACCTCTAGGCATCATTTGCCTGAAGAACTACGATGGAGAGC